CAACTGGGTTATTGGTGAAACAGGTTAACAAAAGAGACTAGATATGTAATCTACAAGATTTATATATTGAAATAAAAAACAAGTATCATCAATTGTTCGATAAGCTTTAGGCGGCATACTTAAAAGAGATTGTAAATTGAAGCAATTTAAGTTGTGCTAACGCATTCGATGTCCCTAAACAGACTTTGCTGTACAGGTTTTTCAATCTCAGCAAAAATATTCAGAAGAATTTTGCGTGGTCATGTTTTTCGCGTTGTGGTGCACCACTTGGAGATGCAACTAAAAATGGATGAACACTATAAAATGTCTGGTTGCTTCAAAAATAATAACAATTCCCCCAACTTTGTCATATCCGCAACAGCTCCAATACTACTTGAGCTTGTTACGAACCCGGCTCAAAAGGCCGTAGTAGGTTCTGAGAAGCGACGCAAAACTTTCAACCTGTAGGAAAAAACAAAGCCTGTAGTACTACTTTTACAATAATTTGTTCCATGAATAACGTCCAGTAATTGCTGTAGTACTACTTTTACAATAATTTGTTCCATCAAGACAACTTTGAAAATCAGTTGGAGAAAGTACATCCCTCAAGCTTTTATTTTTTCAACTCCATGGCTACTCCATAAATCAGTTTCTTTCATCCTCCTTCCAATCTGAGCATTTATACTTTCCTATGGAATAGCGTTGTAGCCCACATTTTATGTATAAATTTCCACAGGGAGTAGCCATAATATCAGATACTAGAGCTGTTGCGATTCCCGGCAAGTTAACCAAGAAGCAATGTTCATCTTTTCTAAATAGTTTTTGTGAAACAGGAAGCTAAATGAAGCTGTTGTTGGTTTGGTGATACAACTCATGCGGTGTGATATCGCAGTTCTGGCTGAAAGGACTTTCCATAAATCCACGACAAAACGTCTTTTTGAACTGTCTAATGTTAAGCTTCTATAATAATGAGAACTATGATGTTTAGATAACAGTGATGATGTTTGGAGTCAGTACAGCAGAAACGTTTGTTAAACCTAGGAGGAGTAGCTTCTTGGTTAGTACTGGAACAAATAACGTTGCAGTACTGTCCTACCCAACACGAATGTTAGAAATGTTGCATTTTTGCTATATGTATGCTATATATGCTAGGCAACTCGTCTTCGCTCGGCTTTTTATGTTTTCTGCGCTGTTTTTTGCATCTGACTAATCTATCTCATCTAATTCTGCGTGAACTACTCACATTTGTGCAGGCATAATTTAACGCATTTATTAAATGGTTATTGATAGAAATTATACAAGAAAGTGCAGCTATCTTGATAAGATCGAACAGCATTCGGCGTAATGTGTTAAATAGGTTCCAATTTTGAAACCTTAAAAGCGCTGGGAGTGAGACCTGGCCTTTGCTAGCAATATATGTACCCGCTCTGCGTTTAAAACTTTTCCATTTGTGAACTAATTGTTAAGCAAAGACTGCGCAACTTAGTTATTTTGCCCCACACCTCACCACGCCTCTCCCAGAGAACCAATTAAGCAACAACTCCGCATTGATATACTTCCATTCAGCAACCACATTGGTTTGTACGATCTTGCTTAAGTCTGATAATGATTGATATCACTT